AGGGTTTAGGGTTTAGGGTTCGCGCGAAGGGTTACTTTAAAAAAGGCGTCCATAGAGGTTATAGGAATTTTGTGAAGGAAGAATCAGTAGTGATATCAAGCGATTTATGGGTTTTAGAAGTTTAGGAAAAATTCGCGACAATTACAGTTCGTCAGGATTCGTACTGTGAGTATACTACTAGACTTGACATTGCTATGCAGGACCGCACTGAAACCCTATCGAAAGGCGCGCTCATGCGTATCATTTAGTGTTTGGGGCTTAGAGTTTCAGGGATAATTTAAAGTTTAGTTGTTTAGGGGTTTTAGGGTTTAGGNNTCGGGGTAGGGTTTAGGGTTCAGGGTTTATGGTTTAGTGTTCAGGGTTCGGTTAACTTAGAAATTGGAGGCTTGGGGTTCATCGGGGGAACATGGGGGGGAACGTTGGAGGCTTCTGGTGTAGGAAGGTATGAGTTTAGGGCTTAGGGTGTAAACTGAGAAGTCGTGTACGTGATATTAAGCCCTGCGGGGGTAGGCAAAATTCACTTCCCCAATGCTGCTTAGTAATGTAGATATGGCCTTCCTGTCGGGATACCGGATACTTCTTCCCGCCTTCGCTGATGGGCTCCAATGGAGTTGCTGGCCCTGGTTGTAAATTTCTCCCCAAACAATCAAGAGTGCAAGACGATGACATTGGCAAGGTTGGCAGATTTCAGGGATACGTATGCTCAGGACTTCAAAGTCAACACCGTGCCGGAAGCTGTAGGCCCATCGCGGAGCTTTCACGCGGTCTTGAACTCACCAGCGCCGAAGAGTTGGTGATGGCACAACTCAATGGGCGACCTGCTCGACATGAGGCAAACGACGACTGGGCCGGTGTCATGCATGTCAGGTTTAATTACGTCCTGAACCGCGTGGAATTTATGAGCCCAAACTGGGCCGCCATCAAACATCCGAGCCTGAACGCGCGGCTTATGGTCTACTGAGTCGACTGTGCTGACCACTTCCATGATCGAGTTCAACAGCAGGTCAAAGGCCACAGCACCCTTCGTTTTTGCAGACGGGCCATGTGTAGACCTTTGATGAACACATCCTCGCAAAATTTTCGTTCATCACAAGAACAGCACGGGGTGGCTAGTCAGCGGTCCGCAGTAGGCTGGGATCGTAGCAGTTGTTTTCTTGAGACGGGTCGTCGGAATGCGTGTGGAAGTAGGAGCAGCGCCGCAACAGCCGTCGTCATCCTTCTCGTATCAGCAGCAACAGCAACAAGACTGGTAAGCCAAACAATATTGTAAGAGATCCACATAGAAACATACTTGGAGGATGATGGGACTTCGTTAGTCAGTACGACGCTTGGAGTTATAAATGATTCTACCTATAGTTACCTCAACTATTACTAAGTCCGATGCGTTGGAACATGAGCTCAGCCATTAGGGTTTAGGGCAGGGTTTAGGGTTTTAGGGTTTAGGGTTTAGGTATAGGGCCAGGATTTAGGGTTTAGGATTTAGGGTTTTAGGGTTTTAGGGTTTAGGGCATAGGGCCATGGTTTTGGGTGCGATACTGGCAGCATACGGTGTAGGGGACCGCACGATCATGGGATCCCCAGACGCCCTAAGCCCAAAAACCCCTAACCAGGACGGTTCCCACACAAGTTGGGGTGAGCCATCACCACCTGCGAGTTGGTGGCTCGAACGTTGTTTGATGGTCTGGGTTTCTTGGGTTTTGGGTTTGGACTCCGGGGCTGAACGACTGGAAGCTGATACGGCTCATAGGGGTTTGGGGTTTAGATTATAAGCGTTAAATGCCTTAAATGGTAGGACACTTACTGGAATCGCGCTCCTAACCCCATGTCACGGTCCTTGTAACATCTTTGTAAACCCTCGACCCTAAATACTACACCCTCTAAACCTTAAACCTAGGAACTCATACCCGAAACTCTCCAGCTATAGAACTTTAACCCTAATCATTACCCTAAAACCTAAACCCTAAACCCTAAACCCTAAACCCTAAACCCTAAAAGCCCGAATCCTGAACCCTGAAGCCGAAACCTTATCGTTAAGGCAGCCGATGGAAGATCCTAGGCCGCTGCCACTTCCAGAAGGGCCCAAGTACCCAGCAATCAAATGGGTAGTTGTCAAAATTATGGTCCCTTTTGGGGTAACCCTAAATAATAGGTGCCGTATTATAATAAGGACCCAAAAAGGGACCATAATTTTGACAACCACACAAATTGCAGACCACCGGCAGCCCCTTCGTAGATTGTTATGTGAATGGGGGGGGGCGAAGGATCCGGGTTTGGTGGGGTTCAGGGGTATATGGGGGTCCCAATTTTCGGAAACTCCCATATGGTTTACTGCCCCAAAATACGAACACCATCCCAAACCCTGGCAGCCAATTCTTGGGTACTTTGGTCGGACCGTTAGAATGAGGGGTCGGGCGGTTTGGGTTTAGGGTTTTGGGTTTAGGGTTTAGGGTTTAGGGTTTAGGGTTTAGGGTTTAGGTAAGGCTGTGTGTGATCTCGGGTTTCATCGGTTTTTACACTGCCTGATGGGTTTGTTCGGCGGTTTGTCGAAGGATTAGCAGGGTGTAAATAGAGGCGGGAGGTAGATATATACATGGTATTCTAGATGGGTTCGGTTGAACCTTGCATTATGATCTATTTGCTGTGTTGCCTGGGCCTCGTGGTAACACACTCGGGCCCTAAATCCTTGGCATGTGCCCAGGCATGCGCTCGGGACCAACAGCGAGAGAAGCGAGCTCAGCCGTTTCTGCGGGTTGCTGGAGCAGTTGTTCATAGGAAAAACTTAAAATTTCGCAGGTTTACATATGTCGGCCTGGTTACTAAGGAGAGGGTCTTTGGCTGGGCTCAGGGAGCTAGACCTAGGCATGCCCCGTTTTAAGATACCACCCGCCGACCAACTCGGCTCAATCCACCTTCCCAAGCCTTACCTCACTGTCCCCCCAACCGAAATCATCAAAGCCTACCCATACCACCCTATACAAACACTTAGTAATAATCTACCCCGTAAACTCAACAAGCCAACCCTATACACGCACTTTAGTAATAATCTACCCCATAACCTCAACAAGCCAGCCCTATACACATACTTTAGTAATAATCTATCCCATAAACTCTAGCAACCAGCGACAGCAATCATCCACTACAACATTTCTAGCAACCGCTCCACACACTCGGCCTCATCCACTCCCTAGCTTCACTATGCAAGGAAATATTTCATGACATTGTGTATAGTAGAGGCGCATCCCTCATATGCAGTCAGCCGCTCGCAAAGCTTTCAGCAGCCCTGATCTTTGAAAGCTTGAGCCACATCAAGCACTCCAACTTCGGGGGCTTCACCGATGCAGGAGGTCTGCCTCGCGAGTGGTTTGGTTTCAGGAGTATGGGCTGGCTGCAAATGTCTGATCAAGGCTTCCGTTGGGCGTAGCTCCAAACACACTTAATCTACTTAAGTGCAAGACGGTGGGTCAAAGAAGGCATGACAGGGAGAACTTGTCCACGCATTGTGCATGTTTTCCCGGCTCTCAGTGCCAATTTGGAGCGCATGCAATGTTGTCTTGGATTGAGCTTTGGCGGCTCCTTCGGGACGCCTCGTACTTGACAGATCCCAAAAGCCGCCCAAAAAACACGAATTCATCGTGGTTCCCGTTGACAGCTACAAGTGGTGCTCGCGACACTGGTCGCGTTATGACCCTGTGCCTGAATGTGTAAAATCTGCGGCTCGGAATGCTGTGATGGCGGCGGGGAAGATTCAACAGGCCTTGCGCAACTGGCAGGCAGCGGCGGAAGCAGCGGCGGAAGCTCGGCTCGAGTCAAGAATGGCGGTCCTCACACTCCAACCGGTTATCCGAGGCTGCCTGGTTCGAAAAAGAATTGCCTTCACCAGCCGAACCCGGTTGGCCAGCTTGGGGTTCACCCGTGCATGCTTGATTGGTTCTGGCGGCTTCGGAAAACTGTGGCAGGCTGTGTCCTGCGATAGCCGTGCTGTTGCCGCAAAGCAACAATCAATCCAGTCTGCGCAGAAAGAAGAGTGCATGCTGAAGTTGGCAAAAGGCCCAGGTGTAGTTCCTCTCCATGGCTGCCACGTTATTGGACCATATGCGTTCCTGGTCATTTCGTTAGGCGTGCCTTTGCCCAAGTTTCTTCCACTGCCAGTTCTGGGCGGCACACACGTGATTTTGCAAATCTTCCAAGCCTTGGCGCGCTTGCATGAAAATAGGGGTTTGTCACAAAGACATCAAGCCTGCTAACGTGATAGCTTCCGACACGAAGCTTGAGCGCGTCATGCTTATTGACTTTGGGACTGCAGCCTACTCAAGCAGCGGCGTCTTTGAGGGCCGGCACGGCACTGTCAACTATATTGCCCCTGAAGTGCTCCGAGACGACACTTACTGCAAGAAGGTTGACCTCTTCTCAGCCGGCGTTTCAGCTCGTGAGATTTTCACCGGCTCCGCGAGGCACTCTGCTGCTTTATGCGCTTCTTCTGGCATCAACGCGCAAGCTGTTCCTCGCATGCTGCTTCGCCAAACCATCCATCCGGCCAAGCGCCGTAAACATGCAAGACTCGATTTAAGCATTCCTTGCGTCGCAGGCCAGCCAATAACTTCGTGCAAAAGCGCGTCAGGTTGTGCCAGGAACGCAATGTGCCTGAGACATTGACGTGAGAACCTGCATGGCCTCCGAGAGATGCCCAAGAAGGGCAGCTGTGGATGAATTTGCGGTGTCGAGTTGATGTTGCACTCTCCAGCACGATGACAAAGCAATTCAAAAGCAAAACAGACAGAATGAAAAACAAAAAAAAGTCAAATGTGAAGGGTGCCAAGCAGAGATGACATTAAAAACATTAAGATATTCTCATAAATGAAATGGTAAATCAGAAGATAAACCCATAAGCCAAATCCCAAAACAAGAGCGGTAACAGTTAAACCTATTGAAAACAAAGTTATAAAAACATTACCTCCTACAAGAGTTAAAGAAGCAAAAGAAGAAACACCAGCACCAAAGCAATCAACAAAACCTGTTAGAGTGGAAGAAGAACCACCACCGCGCCAACCAACAGCAAGATAACCATTTGAAGCAACATATGCTGAAATAAGAACAGCAAAGAGAGAGGAACAAATACAAAAAATACATGGCTTTAAATCTAAAGTGTTTTAATCTTCAGAACCCCTGTGCGGAAGGCCCAAGCTCCAAACCCTTACCTGGACGTTCTTGGACTTAGTAAGCAGGGATATGAGGGCCTTAACTGGGATCAGAAGTAGTTATAACTATAGTTGCCTTAGTTCGTTATACCTCTTGTTACGAAGTTCCATGATCCTGCAAGTAGTTGCCTGAGCCCTAGGACCTAAATCACCAAGTCGAATGTTGTGTCTATCTACGCATCGAGCAAGCCCTCTAAACCTCCAGACTCTACCTAGCCTCGAGCGCCCCAACTCCCTTGACGTCTTAGGACACTAAGCCCCTGACGAAATTTCAACCCAACCAAGCCTCTCCTACATCTAAAAGCTTAAGTTTTTGGATTGAGGGTTTGTCCAAGGGTCTCGGAACCTTGCGGAGTAGGCTGCGGAGTAGGCCTAGTATGACACTTTCCAAGTTTTGGGTTTGAATAGTAAGACTGACTCTTGGGCGAGAGGGTGTCCCTGCTTTCAGACAGGTTGCTGCGGAGCCTTCTGAAGAAACCTTGGAAGGTCCTACCTACTCCTTGTTGAACCTTGCGGAAACTCATCAAGTCCAGTATGTAAATGGGTAGTCTCTAAAATAGGATCCTTTTTTGGGTCCCCCAAATAGTATTATGAAAAAGGGCCCCAAAACGGACCTTAATTTAGAAAACTACCCTAAACCCTAAGCCCTACGTCCTAAACCCTAAACCCTAAACCCTAAACCCTAAACCCTATAAACCCTAATTTAGAGAACTACCCAAATCGATCCGGTACAAGCCCTGACCCAGGACACCAGTTCGACGCTTGGCAGCTCATGGCTCGGGTCAGGTTTGAGTTTAGGGTTTGGGGTTTAGGGTTTAGGGTTTAGGGTCATGTAGATCCCTGATTGGTAAGGCCGCTCTCTACAAGGCCCTTAGTATAAGGATCCTTGTTCTGATTCCTAGCTGAGGGGGCTGATTGACAAGGGGTTGTACAGTAAGGCTTACCGAATCAATGGGAGAGCCTCGAAGTCTTTGGATTTGCATGTCTTTAAACGTGTTGAGTAGTTTGAACCTAATTCGAGCCTGGTTGTTTTTAGGAGGGAGAAGACATCGGTTCATTTGGGCAATTCTTTCCGAATTTCCTCGAGATACTTATAACTTACAACTTATTACAACCGTCGGTCGCTTCCGACGGACTGATATGGACATGTCAGATCGGTACACGTGTGATCAAGGATGACATCCCGGTGGACCGTGCCTCGTGGGACAACTGGCCCCGACATGCCTTGACCCGACACACTATCAGCACTTGGGTAAGTAGCCGGATGACGTGGACATGGTGGGAATTCTGAAGCGGCCCTGTGTCTGCATTCGCAGGAGCGGAGAGCAGGATGGCCCAAAATCATTGGCAATAGGACCTCCTAGCAGCGGCTGCTTTGAAGCTGAAGCCCAAACCCCAAACATCACCAAACCCATCCAAAACCTAATATATACAGAGGTCTGAACACATATTCATTAGTACGGAGTCACAACAGTTTGTAGACCCCATACAACTCCTACTGTGATATGCCCCCAAGCCGCATTCTATTTAAAACTGTGAAAGCCCATACATGCAGACCTCAAACTGGGGTATCAGGTCAAGGTCAGCGTTGCAGATATGCACGATTTATACAATCTGGAGGGGCAAACGGGATTTGTGTTGGCTGTTATAGGATCTCATAATACGGGTTGTAGGATTTGGAGTTGAGGTTTTGATGTATATTGATGGATATTGGGGCTGGGAGAAAGGTGGTATCGGTGTCCATATTAGGGTCGGCCAGTTGAGGGCTTTGGCGTGCTAGAGAATCTTGAGTATTCGGGGCTCTTAAGATTCAGGGTGTCCAATTTCAGTTTCTGGGTTCTTCTGTTTTTTGCAAGAAGCCTTTCTTCATGTAGTAAAAGGTATAATAAACGGACATTGGGCTCCCTAGATAGTTCGAGTGAGCCTCATTACACGACCCGTCAACACCCTGAAGCCGGACGTTCTTGTGGCACAGTTGCGCTGGCTTTGGATGGGCTGGATACCGGCCCAACACCCTCCCCTATAAAATCTAACCCTAAACCCTAAACGCTAAACCCTAAGCCCTAAACCCTAAACGTTTAGCGTTTCAAGCAGAAGGCTTGAGGATGCCGTTCTGGCCCGCCACAGACAGCACGAGGATCTGGAAAGTAGACCTCCCAATTTGGCACTTTATAATTATCACTGAAATTGCACTAAAGTGTAGTTTGCAGGAAACCACTTAGGCGACCAGCTTTTCTAGATCCTCACAGGGTCCGCAGGAAACCACTTAGGCGATCAACCTTTCTAGATCCTCCCAGGTTTTGGGAACCCAGGCAAGCCGCCACGAAATTACCATGCACTACAATTCAATTCTAGGGTTTTGGAGTGTAGGCTTTATCGTTCTCGGGGTTAGGACCAGGAGTGTTTATGGGCTCCCTGTCAATGATCTGAGGTCTTCTCTTTCGCCACTGCTCCCAACAGGCCGCCGGCCGCGAGCAGCGTCTACACGGACAGATCCTCAAGTCAAAGGGATCTACCTAGATCCCTCATTTGGTTCAACATAAATCCCCCGAAAGGTATCTTGTCCGGGCAGGTTTTATTTTAAACAGGCTTACATTACAATTTGGTCAGCCGCATTGTGGAGCCCATCGTCCTGTGTTGAGGGACATGCTTCGACATCTTCAACATTACTCAAGCTGTAGCTGGTTAAGATACGTTTCAGAGAATGTTGTTGACGAGAGAGAGTACACCGGGATGATGCATCCTCCTGATATTCGTGTAGCAGCAAGATGTGCCCACGAACGGGTGGCTTAGGGAGCACCCGTATGCACGGTGGTGCTCGTGGCTTAGTTACCGTGGGGCTCAGGGGACATGGAGCTTATCATCATGCCTGTTCAGGAGCTCATCAGGATATTTAGGCTGTGTATGGATCCAGAGAGCCCGATACGCGTCGGTAAGCAGTACTGTAAAACACAACATGGGGCTTGTGAGTCTGATTTTAATGGTGTATATTATATATATAGATTATGTTTCATATTTGGGGAAATGGGCTCTCTGGAGATGTAGTGTAGTGACCGGCTTTTCTGCCAATGCTGCGGATCTGGAGACTACTTATAGCCCCATTTAAGGACATGGAAGCTTGCTTACTAGGTCCCATGAGTTTTCAAGTGCGCATGCAGGACAAACTCACTGCCCTTCTCGCCGAGAAGCCGTTGTGGCTACCGGGCAGTGGCCAGCAATGTTTGTGATACGGGTGCCCTAAACCCTAAGCCCTAAACTGTTGACGGAAGGGACTCTGGGAAATTCACTTCATATAGGGGCTCCACCAAAATGGTTTCTGGCCATTCTGACACACGTATTTTAAAGACTTACAACACGTTAACACCCCCCAATCCTTGGAAACCGTTCCTAAGCTTTACAGACCTTGGCTGGGTATTCTTTTGCGGCGAATGTTTAGCAAATTTGGGCATGGTTTCCTGGCCTGAGTCGGCCACCGTGAGCATTCTTTGAATACCAGACATCCTTTGGCCAAAAGGTGCATGAACCTTAAGCACTGCGGGTAACTAGGGTAAAAAGCACTCAAGTTTGGCCATCTGTTGCGTAGGGCGGTTCAGGCATGCATATGGCTAAGTTGGAGGTTGCACTGCCTTCAGTTAAACCCTCAACCCTACACCCCGAAACCCT